CTGAACTAAATTTTTATTTATTTACTTATTCTTAAACAGTTCCTCGGGGAAGAACATTAATGCCTGTTTTCATTGGTGAGATACTTTTTCTTCTTAAGAAGGCACTTTCTTTTTTCCTTTCCAGATACTTGTAGTCCCAGATACAAGGAGATGACATTGTCTTATAAATCACAATAAATATAAGAGGAATAGGAATAGCTTTGACACTGATTCTTATCTCTAATGTTAATATAGAGTGGAGAGTCAAAGAACAGAGACAATTATAATAATTGGAATGGCTGTAATCAATCACACTCATTGTATAATGTAGTGTGTATCTATAAAGATACATTAACTAGGGTTACTGAAGGTGAAAAATTTGATTTCCTCTTAATGAACTGTATGCATGCAGTCCTCAAGGTAGAAGAATGTTTATTAGAAGATCTGACATACATTTCTCCTTCGAAGTGGATATTCATTAAGAATAGTTCCTAACCAAAAAATAAAAAAAATAAACGAATAATTCCTTAGATTCATTTCAAATATGTCTTTAGTTTAGTTACCTACAAATGCAAGATAAAATATTTGTGTTAATCTACTTCTACTTTGAAACATAAAATTTCATGTTTAACTGGAATGCTATAAAAATTATGAATATATTTATTTAATTTCATCACATATCTAAAGGTGATCTAATTAAATATTAAATCAAGACTATTTTTAAAATCTACAATTATACTAAAATAGTTAATGAAATGTTTATAGGTCAGCATTGCCATTGCAAGAAAACAGTGTTAAGTGAGCAAAGTTCAGATTTATTATGTACAGAACTTTTGACTTAAGCAGAAAGATCACTCATAGGCACTCTTGGCCACTAGTTTTCCATGTAAGGCAGAGTTATTAGATGAAGATATTCAAACTGTCATTTGCACCAATCTGAGCCCAGTGAATGAGGACAAGGTACACATTTGATGGGTTACATCACTGAGAGAAAACAGACACATGCAGTGGGTCATTTTTCCAAAAGCAAATAATCATTTGGTATTTGAGAACTTTGATCACAGCGAAGTGTTGACACAAAAATTAATCACATTCTCCTTAGTTCAAGATCAGTATGAAGAGCTCAAAGACATAACCTGAAAGCCATATAACCAACAAGTTTTGCAGTATTTTTTGGTTAGTTTCATTTAGAAGCAGCTCACACATTCTGAATTAAATTCTATGTATAAATAAACAAGATGACAGTTATAGTCACTGAAACACTTGAGTACATAATTGTCTACACTGAGATCTCATTTAGTGTTGTATCAAACTTTATTAAGCAAAGCTGAAGGGGGAATTAACTTGAATTGCAAAAATCTTCTCTTCTTCAGATGAAATAAAGCAGCTGTCAAATAAGTACATCCATGACAACTGGGTCATCAGCTGTTTTTAAACTTTTGGAAACAAGTGACTGGACTAAAACTTTCCTTTTGCTATAGCTTTAAAGTATGGGATCCAGTTTCTACGGAGATTTTACTTAAACAAAGCTACTGGTTTAAAATATTTGTAAAACACATTTACGCATATGTATTTTGCCCATAAATTGCACTTTGACAAATTAGGAGAAAAAAAGGAAACCAGAGAAGAAAAGAAATAGAGCAAATACAGGTATTATGTTCCACATATAATACCATACTAATGCTAATTTTACTAAAAGTATATGTTTGAGTTTATTTAATCAAAATTTTCTTCTCCCCAAATCTACCAGTTCACTTTGTAACGTCATTTCTCAATTTAAAAGAAAAAAAAAAAAAAAACCCTTTGCAATTTATTAGCGTTTCCTACTTTGAAAAGATGTTTCAGTGACCAAACGATTCATCCATTTAGTTACCTTAATGGCAGAGAGGTCAATTTTTTCTTCTTTGGGTTTGGCTGGGGCAGGTGCAGGTGCAGGGGCAGGGGCTGGGGCGGCAGCAGCAGCAGGTTTCTTCACATCCTTCTTTGGTGCCATTTTGTTTAAAAGGATGGGTTAAAAAAAGAGAAGGAGCACCTCCAAAAGAACCTGTCAAAGTGATTCTTGGAAGAGGAGTGAGTGGTGGTTCGGTTGATCCACAGCCCAGTGTCTTGAAGGTAGAACCCAGAGTATTAAATGGTATAAGGGCATGCATATATATTTCACTTAGTGCCTAATAGAATCTTGACACATGCGGCTGGATTGGACAGTTCGCTAGTCAAGGGGGATGGCATT